GTGGAAAAACACATTTCCTCCAAGTTCCCTAAAATTAATTAATTAATCATCTCACTGTTGCATTTTAATTAAACACCCACAAGTGTATGAGAGGTCCCTCCATATACACTATATAGATGTTGCCTTCCAGAAGCATTTGTGGGGCTCCAATGCAGCATAAATGAGAAGAAACCTTTAGTTAGAAAAAAAAATTGCTCTGTATATTTGAATTGCAAACCTTATGGCTCACTGTAAAGGGCTCATCTAGGGTTTCAAACAATTGCTGTGGCATCTTTGTCAGGCATTGAGTCAGCCAGGGTCACATAAATTTCCCAGAGTTCCTTTGCCTGAGTGTTTCCAGTTAGAGTGGGGGAGGGAAGTCATTTTGCTTGAGACCTAAGGGCACAGGTGAAGCCTCAGCCCTGTTATTCTTCACTCTTAAAGGGTTGCAGCAGGTGCTTTTGCAGCTCAGCCCATTGCCGCTCACCACTTTCCCCTGGAAACTTCTTCAGCCTGTGTGTCCCAGGCCAGGCCTGTGCTTAGTTCTGAGACAGGACACCAGCTCCTCCTGCAGGACAGAGAGAACAGAGCTAGGCTCCATTCTTCTGAAGGGTTCTGAGGGTTCCGCTTGTCCTTGCCTCCTCCCATTTGACATCCTCCCACTTGACATCTATCCTCCCCTCCCTGCTGCCTTCCCAGGAGACCTTGAGCTCCACCACCAGAGGCCAAGATAGCCTCACAGAGACCATTCCACCAGCCCCCACGATGGCAGAGTCAAGTCCCTGGAACTAATTCTGCACTTCCCACTGGTTCTGCTTCTCTGATTGAACCCTTGCTGATACAATGTCCTTGTAGTACATCCCAGTGCCACAAACTCCCCCAAAATCTCTGGATTAAAAAAAGGAAGAGAAGTTATCTTGTAAGGAGAAATTAGAATGTGTAGGGAATCAGGGCTTTCCATTTTCTTCCTATCCCTTCCTACCCCCACCCTATAAAGCTGTAGAAAGACAGAAGAACTGGAGATTAGGCAACTATGCTTCATTTTGTTTGGAATCTAAGTGAGGAGAGACTTTAGGGAAGGCTAGGGAGGTAACAAATCTTTGTAGATGAGGGACTGAATATACAAATCAATAATAGCCAGATCATGAGTGAAAATACAACTCTGGCCCACAATTGGCAGCAACCCATTCAGAAAACAAACCCATTATCTATAGGAGCCATCCCAGGAAATCAGCCTGCTATCTGGAAGTCAGACAGTCTTGCAGAAGGTCAGACTACTATTTCTAGCAATTGGGACCAGGAACAAAATAATAACTCCTCTAAGATAGCCAACTTTCTGTTACTATAATAAAATACCTGAGATAATTGTCCTATAGAGAAAGGATTATTTTGGCTTTCAGTTTTGGAGGTCCCAGTTCATGATCTATCTATTGACCCCATTAGTTTTGGGCCTATGGTGAGGTAGCAGGTAGCACATGGCAGAAAATAACTGCTTATTTTATGTTCAGGAAGCAAAGGAGAGTGCTGGGGGAACAGGGTCTCACCATTCTCTTCAAGGACACATCCCCAATCACCTAAAGGCCTCCCATTAGGTCCCACCTCGTAAAGCTTCCACTACTTTCTAAAAAGCACCTTCTCAGGGACTAAGCCTTTAATATATGGGGCCTTTGGGGTATATTGAAGATCCAAACTACAGTATCATGTAACAACTGACCTCAAGTGGCCAGGACTTAATTATTAATTGACCTTTTTCCTAATTTTTGTCTCTGCTTCTATTTTTGGACCAACCAAATGAGTCAAATATGAACCCTTCATGGATGGCATAGGATGCCTACTTCTAGTTACACCACCTACAGCTTCCCATGCGAATAGCCTCCCAGGGCACACCTGCAGTCTTCCTTTTTTTTCCAATAAGGCTTTTCCCACTCTTTTTTCTGCTTTTGAGTTTCTGCAAAAACACAAATGACACTGACCGGCTCCCTCGCTTTGGTGAGCTCTAAATATGTAGCCTTTCCTGTTCCCATGTGGCTGGTCTCCACTGAGGTCCATATAAGGGAGGCCTCTGGCACCATGTAGCAGCCTTAAGATCAGGTGTTGGGAGGGCATGCCTATGCTGAGGAGTGCTGGAGATAGTTCTCTGGTATCCCATGGCTTTGTCATAGTCCAGGAGGTGGAGATGCAAGATGACAATGCAGGATGACTCTTTTATTTGAATTTCAGGTAAACAATGAATAATTTCAAGCATGAACATGTCACAGGCAGTATTTGGGACATACTAATGCCAAAAAAAGTACTTATTATTTCTGTGGAATTGGAATGTAGCTAAGCCTCTTTATTTTTATTGGTAAAG